TCAACTCCCAAAATCCCCCAGCCAGCATGGCTGGCTGGGGAATTCTGGGAGTTGAAGTCCATCTTAAAGTGGCTATGGTTGAGAAACACTGGCTTAGTGGAATGATGTGGGCTTGCGTGATCCAAGGGAGCAATGCCAGGAAGAATGCACACACCTTTTGAACCAAAAATGAAAGGCTTTTTGACCGAATATTGGCGAAATGGACACCGAGGAAGAAAACACGGGCCGGTCATTCGCCTTGCTTTGAGCTAGACCGGCGATGGCGAACCTTTTGGGCTCGGCGGGTCAAAAATTCGGAAAATGCCTCACTTGACTCTGCTGGCCTGTCAACCTCGCCCCCTCCCCAAACAAAAGAGAAGCCATTCTTTCTGTATTCATTTATTTTTTTAAAAAATACAGTCCGATCGTGGATGGTGCTATGTATTATATAAAGAAACGTCCAATAATTGCAAAAAATGAAATGCGAGTAAAACAAACTCAGTTTCTTTGGTAACTCAAACAGGGGTTGTCGGGTGTTGGTGAATGCTGGCGTGTCGCCCAAAACGTCGTGGCGTGTCATCTTTGACACGCGTGTCATAGGTTCACCATCCCTGAGCTAGAATGTAGTCGGGACGGTCTCCTCATCAGCGGCTGAGTTCACGGAACACGCTAAGCTCGCCCCCGAAGGGGTTGGGTGATTCAGCGTGTGGTGGGGAACCCAGCCTGTTCCAAACCAGGCCATCGCCTTAGACCACGGCACGATTTATCAGTTTGGACGTCTCCCTCATGTGAATTGCGTGTTTTGTTCATTCAGGGTTAGCACGTAGCTTGTTTGGTGAACCTAACCAGCATGCTTTCTGAAGTAAACCATGTTTTGTTGCTTAGTGTGATGTGTGAATGTAGCCGCTTTTGTTTCATTTGGTAAACCAGGGCTACACAACTCTGGGTTGCTGCAGTGTGGGAACCTAGCCGCTGAATCAGCCTCCCCTGGTTAAAATGGGGGTAAATATCTTCATCGCCATCTTCATCCTCCCCGCGGGATCCCGCTGTTGGGTGGAAACGCAAAGGATGGCCATCTGAGGATCTGGAATCACACAC